CACTCCTCATGACAACTCGCGTCAATGTGGTGAATACGTTTACTATTTCTGGAGCATTTCCTGCCTCAGGTTGCATCCATTGTGTTTGGTTTTCTTAAGTCAACAGAGAATCTGCGAGATGGCATCTAAAAACTGCAGAGGTTCCGCCTCCCCAGTCGCTGCATCGCACACACACTCACCAATACAGACACTCTGCTTTGATTATATATGGTGACTGAAATGGAGCAGATTACATGTCCTTACCAACAAACAACAGAGATGAGCTCCATCTTTTAAATATGATGTGTCTTGGTCATTAAGAGCTTCATCATTGAGGAGTTCTCAAACTCTGAATTTAAGAGGGATGAAGAGAAACCAAAACTGAAGAAATGTTATCTCCCTCATTGGGACTCTGGAGGGTTTTTCTGTTCGATAGTCTGGAACGTGCCAGGAAGGAAAGGCATACATTTGGAGTGCATATTTCTGAATAGAGAAGTGTAGGTGTAAAACATTCAAGATAGTTTACAGTCTTCACAAGAATGGGCCTTCGTGTAAGCTGGCCGGGCTGAAAAATAGTGATTATAGCTTGTTTTGCAGCACCCTGCTGTCATTTTCTTCTGTGCACCGGAAATATTCTACAGTCAAATGGTGGGTAATCTGTCTACAACCGAAGCTTGTTCGAAACTGAGTCATCAAGAGGTGCCGTGATCCCAAACACAGCAGCAAAATAGCGTCTGCAAAATGAGAGACTCAACATGAATTGCTGGAATTTCCCAGTCAAGTGAAATGTTATTGTGAGACTTTAGAGAGTTGTTCAAAAAGACATGCCCACAAGTGCACAAGAACTGAGGTCGCCTAGTAAAGATGGGTGGACCAAAATGATTGTACAATGAAAAAGATTATCATGCAAAAACCATTTCTCCAAAAACATTACAGATAGTTATGGTTCAAACACTGCTTCTGAATTTGACTTGTGTTTTCATAATAGTTTGAGCATTATGTTTTATATTTTTTTTCTATTCATTCTTTTTTTTAAATCAGGAGTTCCTTATACATTTCAGCAGCTCCATTTAGAATAGGGAGTACTTTCTCATTTATGTGACTGTGACAATTTAGGATGTCAAATGGAGCTTAAGTTGTTACTTCCGCCAGAGCAACAAGCATTTGTTCAGCTTTTTCTACTTGAGGTCAATAGGTTATTATTGTGTTTGTCCTGTACACCATGCTTCATTAGTAGATAACCATCAAAAGAGAGACAGCAGCCAAGAAGAAGATGTCACAGTTTCATTGCTTTAACCATGTCTGTCCATTGTTGTATGTCTATATTTATCTTTTAAAACAGCAGACATTTGTAAGATAGCAGAATAATAGAAACTTGAAATTTCATTCCTTTAATTTCTAAAAGAAAACTTGAATATTTAAATGCAGACCAGAATGACGAATGGTCATTACCTAAAGTTAACTGTAGATCAGTGGCCTGACTGTGATGTCAAAGCTCAATTTAAAATAGCTTGTCAGTACCTTTTTACTCAACTGCTGAAGTGAATCAAAGATATTCCCCAGATTGTTTTAAAAAGAAGATAGAATTAACATTGACAGGCAGTGGTCATTACATGCTCGCCTTAAAGAATTAAATGAAATGGCATGATTCAACTGAGCCAAGCTTAGCTGAAATTTAATCATATGGACTCAGCTCACACACAAATAAGATTAACAAGAGGGCAGATAGTATGCAATAATGAGGGTAGATAGAGTCATCAGATGCATATCGCCTTCAGTTCAAAGTTACACTCTCTTCAATCTTCTGAGACTAATCCAAACAAGGGAAAATAAACTTCAGAAGCAGCCACACAGTAATGATGGTCTAAAATACGGACTTCTTTGCCTTGCCTCATTGAGTACCAAACCCTGATTACGCACTCTGCTGTTTTGGCAATCTGAAAGGAGACACAAAAACGCGAAATGAGCAATTAGGCTACATTGTGAAACCGACTGCATCTGAGCTTCGCATCGCTAATGACCACATGCCACACAAAATATGGGTCCATGTGAAGGTAGATGGAAATTTCTGGACAAATTCGTAGACTAAAGTGTGAGAAAAACAAACCAAGACATTAGGAAACAAGTTTTTGTTGTCAGTGCTTTTTTTTCAGCTGTGTCTGATTCTCCAGGCTGATTTTGCTCCATCAAGTGAGTCAGTGTCATTTATGAAAAACTCATTAAGGCTTTTCCTGTGGGAAATAGCTGATAGTTGAATATAAATTAGACAGAACACCATCACATGTCATCTTTTGCCCACTTCCTATCAACAAGAAGAAAAAAAATCATAGTCTATCTCTCAAGTCTTCACAGTTGTAACCAAATTGAAAGTTCCTGTAGAATTACTGGCATTTTGTTATTGAAAAAGTTAAGAAGATGACTATTTCTAGCTGCCAACATTTCAGTTGAGTTGGCATAATGATTTCTTATTTGCTAAGTGATCGCTTCAATATTTAGACCAACAGTGTCATAAACATGTAACCGCATTTGACTGTTCAAATGTGCTTTTAGGTCATAAATAATAACATTTAACTCAATCAATTGGTTGTGTAAACGGCATAGATGAATAAATTAATAAAAAACAATTTGGCATTGATAATTATCATCTGGTCACAATCATCATGCTGGTAAAACCTCAAGTAAAATAACTTGGTAACACAGCAGATACCAAAAGCCCCAACACACCAAATGAGACATTTTTAGGTGTGTGTGTTGACACCATGGCATGTCAGGAAGCATTGAGGGTTATGGTTGGAGAATGGTGGAAAAGTGGGTTGTTTGGAATGTTGTCTTAATTGTTAGAGCCGTATTTGAGCTGAAGGACTGAGCTGAAGATGTTTGCAATGTATTGCATTTTTTATTTCTTCAGAAGTTGCAATTCCAACAACTCTAAATTCCAGACTATATCCCGTAACTTTTTCTCCACGCTTTGAACACTAGCAGCTAATACAAAGAAACGATGCAGCTAATGTACTTATTGATATCTTTAGCATGCCTCATGCAGCTAAAGCATGTGGCCTCCTAAAATAAATACCATTAGCTACGAGGAAAGGCCGGACTGCAGTTTGGGGAAGAAGCTTGCCCTCTCAAGTCGGTGCAACAAAAAAAGAGAGACAGGGAGTGAGTCGCAAAGTTATTGAGGCTGTTCAATTTGGACACTGAAGAAGACAACTCTAGTGGTTTTATTACGCTGGAGGAAGATGAAGAAAGGGTTTAATGACTTTTCATGGTTGGTTACTTTTTTTTTAATCCACTTTAATCCACAAAGAAAATCTTCAAGTGCAACATCTTTCTATGCCAATAGCTCATATTTCATATGGCCTACATATGTATAAAATTGATTTTCATTCTAAAAGTAGCAGATGTGCATTATATTTAATATCTCTCCATAGTCTAAAACTTACAATGTTTAATTGTGTACAGCCAAACAAAAGTGCCT